TGTGTGTGTGTGTGTGTGTGTGTGTGTGTGTGTGTGTGTGTGTGTGTGTGTGTGTGTGTGTGTGTGTGTGTGTGTGTGTGTGTGTGTGTGTGTGTGTGCGTGTGTGTGTGTGTGCGCGTACGTACACCACAAGCAGAACTAGTTGTTCACCCACATTGCTCAGAATTTGGCCCCACTCCATTCCTCTTACATTATTCAGCAGCCCCATAGGAACAGGGCATGTTGGCAGCATGTCACGGAGGCTAGCTGAGATGCTTCTGCAGTTCAGTTGTCCTTTTGTGCACTAAAGATGCCTTGGGAACCATTTATTCCAGATCAACCTGTGTTGTGATCTGAAATAAGCTCCTGGGAGACACAAACATGAGACTATGATGGTAGTACAAATGTGGGGGTGAATTCCTCTTTGCCTTTCTCTATTGTCTTATGCCAAACAGCTTTGCTGAACCTAAAGAACAGAGCCTGCAGCTCCACTGAGGGCCTCAGCTGGCTTATGGCAAGGATTTAGAAATCAGGGGTGCCTATACATGTGCAGGGAGGCTGCTCCAATGTTCTGTACTTACAGCATGCCAGAGCAGACTCAATTAATCGAGTCTGTTGGAACGTGATATTGTAGGGGAAGCAGAATCACTCTCTTTGCATAAGTAGCTAATACCCTACTTACACAGCTAGAGAACTGCCAGTTGGACACACAAAGGGAAGTGACAATCCAACCAATATGTATTAAATATATAACACTGAGAAAAACACTGTAAAAAGAGAAATACTGTAATGGAGGGTATAACAAGGCAGGTTAGAAAGAAATCAGTTTGATGAGAAGAGACTATTCTTGAAGGGAGCTAAGAATTGGGTTAGAGCACAGAAGTCTCTAGAGACTGGTAACTTCCTAGCCCCGTTGTCTGCCTGTTTTAATGTAGTCTTGAGAAAGTATCCAAAACTTTTGGAATTTTGCTTCATTGGACAAACAGAGTAGCTTTTGTGCAGTCCTACCTGTCTACTCTGCCTGGAATAAGCCTAACAACATCTCAGTGAAATAGCTCAGTAGCATTACTTTATAGACAAGCATCTTGAGCACAAGACAGATTTTTAAGTCACTTGCCTAAAGGCCCACAGTAAGTCAATGGCAGAGCTGGGAACAGAAGTCACTGCCTAACCTAGTATGCCAGTCTCTGTAGACCATGCTAATATTTTCAATCTGCCACCAATTTTTCCATATATAGTGTATTTTTGAATCCATGTTTCTTACTGCAGTCTTGCCCTCCAATAAAGCACATTCAGAAATATTTTCTTACTGAACTGTGGGAAAAGAGCTGCGAGTAGCTTTGACCCTGGGCAAGGTTAGATTTTGGAACTTACTGTTGTCAAAAAAAAAAAAATCAGCACATTAGCGCAGAAACCCTGGAGACTGCTGACCTTCTCAGCTGCTTATCGGGGAGTTTCTCTTTTGGACCCTGGGGGAGCAGCTACTGGACATTTTTGAGATTTTTAAAGCACTGTTGATATTGATGTAAACATGATAACTAAAAATAAATGATTAAAAAAGTACACTGTAGATATTTGTTCCAGAGTTGTTATGTTTACCCATACCAACTTGGCTTTCTGTTTAGACAGTCTTACGGTACCAGATGGCCAGTCATTTTCAGTAACATGGTCATGTCCCTGAAGATTTAGCCTACAAGGTAACTATATTAAAACAAGCCTGTAATTTTCCATTGCAAATAGATGACTGCATTCCTGCTGTGGGCAATGGACCGTAGGGACAAGGATCACTAGGAATTGCATGCAGTCGCCTCAGCTCAGCTGTGATCTCCTTTTACCATGCCAGGGGCACAAAGGGGCAACATAACACTTAACCAGCCATGAGGGTGCTCCTTGGGATCCCAGGGTTGGGGACTGCGGCTCAGGAGATGTGAGGCTGGGAGAGTTCTCTCTCCTTCCCTGTTCCTCAGGCCCTCTGTAGTGAGGAAGGGACATGGCCAGACCACTCTGTATTCTGCCAGTCCCCAGCTGCCTGACAGACCCTTGAGGATATATTTCAGAGCTGACCCAGAGCTGCTTTAAATTAGATTGAGGGTAAATTGGTCTTCAGTTGCCTTCAGAATCAGCAAACTTTTTTGTGGTTCCCCTTGTCTGCTGTGCCCAGCAGACACCATACCAGACTGAGACTGGTCTGCGAAATCAGCACTACACATACCTCACGTATTGATACAAGTGCACATCTGTGCAGCAAAGGACTGAAATTATTCTTTTTCCTAACGACTTATGGCCTGATCTGGCACCACGTCAAGCCATTGCCATCAGTTTTGATGAGAGCAAGATGGGCCTGTCAGGGGCAGGAGCCACACAGCAACATGGAAAGCAAGAGAAGAGAGCTGCAAATCCATTGATCGGCTCCTCTGTTTAAACCACCGGAGTGACAGCATCCAAGTCACAGGCTGGTGTTGGGAGCATCTCTGTGCACTCCTAAGCACAGGTGACAGGATGGCTATCACTGTAATGGCTGTGTGCTTCTCTGGCCAGGCAGTGGTACTGGCTGTTGCAGAGAAGGGCATGCTCTGGGCCCATTCTCTCTCTCCTGACTTGAGCAGCACCAAAGCTGCAATCATGGCTTTCATCTCCTGAGGAGGTGCCAGGAGAAAGAAGCTCCCAGCCAAAATTCAGTTGGTGACTTTAAAGGAAATATGCTGTACCCCATCCCCAATCACTTGAGCCATCCCAGTACTTACCATCCAATGGGACAATAGGGCAGATGCCATGACGTAGAGAGGCCTCTTCCAGTAAAAGTGAGAGCACATCAGGCTTTGGACCTATAGTAATGAGGGAGAAAAAGCAGGGAGTGGAAATGGAAGGTGGGGTAAGAAGTAGGAAACACTTACAATCCCGTTAAACTCCCAGTTTACAAAGAGCCATGGACATCCAAAATTTTACGGAGCACCCGTGTATGTGCATGCACGTGTGTGTGAATATTAAGAAAGACGTGGTCCTTGAAGAAAGCTAATTTCCTTCCTTAAAAAAGAATAAATCATGCCCCCTTTGATTCCTGCTCCACCCAAAGTTTAAAACCATCTGCCTGGCAGCAGCAGTAGCATTTCTAGTCAGGCAGTGCTGAGGGAGTTGCTTGATTCCATGGCTCATTATCACCTACCTGATCCCTTCTAAACTCTTAATTCCATAAGTGTTAACAATTCTCTCTTTTTAATGGCCTTGATGTTTTACTAATCAAGCTAGCCTTTGTTCTAAAATTCTGATGTCTGTGAGCTGCTCTTGGTAATGAAGCTCCTATTTTACGGCCCTGCAGATTGTTTTTAACTCATTCCAATTAAGCTGTATTTGTTTTTGCTTCAACCTTAAACTGAATAATGCAGCCCTAGGCCCCTGGCTTATTTGTAAAGCTTCTAGTTTACTTTTATCTGGAGACAAATATGCATTGTTTTATGTGATGATGCACCGCACCAACTGCTCTCACCCTGTTCAAAATTTTAGGGTGGGCTTGCTGGGTCAGTTTACTGTTCTTTTCTACTGCATATTCTCTCTCTCCAGACCATCCTAATTCACAACAGAAATGTGAACAGTGGACCACTGTCTATGCCCTCCCTGCCTGGTATAACAGGACTATCTTTATTTATTTGCTAGTTAATGGACATCCTTGATGAAATGATAAACGTTTCATTAAATATAAGTGAAGGATTTCAAAGAGTAGAAAGCAGCCCAACCAGCTCTGATACCAGAGCACTCCCTTCTAGGTACTCTGGAGTTGATCGTAGGGAAAGATGTCTCCATACCACTACATTAGCTGTAGCTAGGCTGAACATTAGCTACCTGTGTGGCACTGGCCTAGGCCAAATGGTCTGCCTCCTGCAGTGGGTGGATAGGCAAGGCTGCACCTGTCACTTCCCAACCAATCCATAACCCAGCTGATATGGCTATTTCCTGTGAAGCAGAAATGGCTTCTCTTAGGTAATAAGTTAGAAGAGTGAAGGGAACTGCTTAGCAATTGTGGAATCTCAGTGTTTTGGATCTCTCCCTTCGCAAAGACTCACACAAATCTCCCAGAATGGAATGAGCTCCAGAAGTCAAAACCATATATTCCATGGGGTAAGCAACCCAACCTCAGCAAGGAAGAATTTGGAAGAAACTCCTTGACTGGCCCCCTTCTCTGTTTTTTATTTTTATGAGAGGGGAAATCAGTGTCACTGAGATAATGTGCCCTTTGGTTACTACTGATTAATGGACCATAGGGCAAATATATATCTAACAGCATAGGTTGTAGTGGCTGAACACCTATTCCTTCTGACCACTCTTTTCTAGGACCCAACCTCACATTTGTTCTGTTGATATAGGCATCATTACCTGGCAGTCTTTTCCCTTTTCTGCTTCAAGCAAAAAGCTAGTGAGGAATCACTGGCCTGCTTCTCATGTGCAACTACTCTGTGGCTCAGCCTCTTGGTTTTCTAAGGATATCAGATTCTGGCCAAGTCTAGAGACACTAAGGGTAGAATCTACTTCCTTTACAGAGAGCCTGCATATAAGAGCCCTTAAAACAGGATTTAAATAGGACTGATGTGGTGGCAAAAGCCTTCTTCTGCCTCCTTGTATAGGGGTGCATTTCATCTAAAGAGACTAAAATTGTGCTGCATAATAGCTTTTGAGTTTCATTTTATCCGCTGGCAGGCAAGGTTCTGTGGGTAGATGTGATATCTTTTATTAGACCAACTGAATAGCTGGAAAAAATGTTATTTGCAAACTTCCAGCCACAAATGCCCATCTTCAGGCACAGGGAGACTCTGCAGAATGACGTTTGTGCCCGAAAGCTTGCTAAGAATATTTTTTCCAACTATTCAGTTGGTCTAATAAAAGATACCACATCTTCCCAAAGAACCTTGCCTGCCCATGTCCTTAGACCAACACGACTACAACCAACAACCCTGAAACATTTTATCTTCTAGCATTCTGGGCATCAGAACAATCATTCTAGCAGCATAAACAATAGCAAGAGATGAGACTGTTAAAATCATATTATATTTATTACACACAGGAGATATAACAACTTACCAAAATAGCATCATTTTTGCAAGTCCACAGGACCATGAAAAAAAATACGCACGTGAAGCAGATTCATGTTTTTTTTTCGGCACTGTAGTTCCTCCTCTTTTTTTTCCCCCTCGTGTTGATGAACAGAATATATTTATGCAATGAAATTTAGAGATACATCACAGAAAAAAGCATAATCTAGTGCTGAAAACTGCAATAACTTGGTGATATACAGTATTCCATACTGGTGCTCATGTGGAAATATATAATGTATTGCAAATATATTGCAAATAAAAATGAAGGTATAGTTTTAAATACTAAAATCAAAATAAAATAAACTCCAGGTCCACAATTCAGAGCTATGAATTAGAGTCCTTTTCACTTAAACAGTCCATCTCTTCTTCCGCAGGTAGAATTCTCCTTCTCTGACAATTGTGCTCTTGTATCAAAGCCTCTTTTTTTTTCATTGTGTGTGAAGTTTTATCAGAGTCAATACCCATGGATTCCAAATGTTGGTCTGAAGCTGGTACTTCAGTGCAAATACATTAACTTTCAAATTGCATCTTTAGAGTCTCAGAGGGGTCAGTGCCAAGGCTGAAAGAGGACCATTCCCTTTAAACCATTAATGTTGTCCATATTTAGGGCAGGCTTCAGGAGTGCTTCTGTTTCAGCAGGTATTTCATATGCCACTTTTGCATCCTTTTCTCCCCAACAAAACTAGGCTTTTCACACTGTGAAGTGGCAGGCAGTAAAGTGCTTTAACACAATGAAATATTTACATTTGGATAGATTCAGTTTTAACACTTCATGGACAAAAGTTCACAAACACTGCACCTTCTAGAGCTGGCTCTTTCATAACACAACGTGGTTCATGAAGGGCTGAATTCTGCTACTTTTTTTTACACTGGTGCAAATACAGAGCTGGTCCATTGCCAGCAACAACTTCACCCCAGTGTGTTTGAACCAAGAATTTGGCCCATAACCCAAAGCTTAGGACCTGTGAAAACCTAAATAAATGCTATACGTAATTGTTTTCACTGAAGGCATGACCTAATCAAACAGCAAAATTCCAAATGACATGTAGCCATTATAGCTATCCCATTGATACAAAGCTAACTTTCACTTCTACAGAATGCTGTTGGACCAAACTCTGATCTTACATTTCTGTCCATCCTCTTGAGCTTATGGGCATGCTTTTTCTCTCACATCTATCAATTTAGGCTAGTGTGATGCCATTGACTTCAGGGAAGTTACTCTAGAATTGCACTAAAGTAATCAAGATGAGAATCAGGCCCTATATTTTTTAATGTAACACGGAACATTTGCTTATGTGAGCATCCTTCTAAATAACATGCAGGGGAGTAAATGAACATTGACCAGGAAGGGTTAACTTAGAGAGCCTAGGAATTGGAACATCACTCTACACATTTTGGCACCCTTTTCTTACATTCCAGTTTTCGTTGTAGAGGTCTTCTGTCTGTGAAGTTTGCCTTTTGTGCATAAAGAAATGCCTTAAGTACTTGTGCACATCTAGCTGCAGTCTCTTTTTAAAATCTCCAGGACTTTTCTTCCAAAAGCTGATTTCCACTGGTGGACAAAGCTTTTCATGTTGACAATCAGTCGGCCAGTCCGGACATCCTCATGCCCTGCCACAAGGTATTCCAAGCCTGTAAATCATTAAAGTGGTCAGGGATTGTATGGTGTACTGCTTAAAGAGGCAGCAGCACTGAATGTTCATTTAACACCTATTCTTGAGAGAAAAAAAAAGCAGTGAGATCTGCAGTAGATGCTGAATGCAAGCTGTGAATCTGCTAGTACATCATGCACCTGTATGTAGGTAGCAAGTAACAAGAGATGTGGGCAATTAGGATGCTGGATAAAAGCTGCTCATTTGTATGCCCTATTTGCAGAATGGTACTGCATTCAGAACAGAAGTTACTCAATTCTGGGTTAAATTAATTCTGTTGAAGGCTTATGCACCACTCAGATCCCAGTGAGACCTGAACAGATCACCAACTTTATCTTCCCCCTCTTTCCAGGGCCAGATGTGACTCCATTTGAACCCCCTTCAGTAGTGTAACTACAACAGGCAAGTGGGGCACCAGAATTGCTACCTGGGAGCTGTTACCACAGCAAGGGCAGCCCTGGCCAGCCATAGGAACCAGGCAGGGCAGCACTGCACCAAGCAGTCCATCTGGGCAGTGGGGGTAAGTGGAGTGAGTGGAATGTTGCTCCCCCACTTCTAAGGAGCCTTTGCTAGAGCATGTACAGCCCTGCACTCAGTATGTATGGAAGTGGCAGGGGAAAGCAAATGGGTCACCAGGATCAGCTCCCTGGTACAGCAGCAGTGGTAGTAATAGCATCAGTAGCAGCAGTAGCCCAGGAGCCTAAGCCGCCTTTTCCACTCATTCACATGCTGCCCCCGCCCCCATTTGGTCTGCAAACCCCCGATCTCCTGAGTGCTCACTGAGTGCTCTTCATCTCTGGCCCCCACACTGGCACAGGGTGTGTGGGCACAGGAATGCAGGCAGTGGGGTGATACTACCTGGGAAACCATGAGAATAAGTAACCATGAGAGTAGTACCATAAACCTCTCCACAGGAATGTGTTAAGCTCTAGGGCTAAAAGTAAGTATAGCATCAGAATGCAAACTGATGAGAATAATGCAGCTTGGCAAAGCAAATATTCTTTACAAATGAAGCACAGCTAGCTAGTGGGCTTCTGATATTTAAAAATATATGATCAGATGCAGGCGAGCACAGCAAGTTCCATATCTTTCGCTGTCAAGAATACCCACAGTCACAGGTTAAATGTTATTTGGTACACAATTAGCTGCAAGACATTCGCACAAGGTGGCATGTCTATTAGAGGCACTGGAATGGCACTTGGAGGGTGCCTGAAGGCTTACACTTGCACTAAAAGGTGCTTCATGAAATTCTCTCTCATCCAGACATTTTGGAGAGATATTAGTGGTGCCCTTCAACATCTTGCCTGACTTTTGGATGCTTCTACCATCCAGTGAAGAGCATCTCCCCAGCATTATGGTACATGGCTTGTCGTTTGCTCTCAATGCCACAGTCCTGATTGTGAACTCACCTAACTTTGCTGGAATAACTCCAGTCACTTGAGAGTGGAATTGTGCCTAATACACACTTCTTTACAGGCCTAGGTTCTGATTTTGCAAAGTATTTTGCCTTGTGCCTGACTTGGAATGAATGAATCTATGTTATTTACTCACAGGTTTCTAGTTAGGCATGGCCTTGCTGAGTACCTTACTGAGTCTGGGCCACATAGGGTGGCACATTATCTAAAGAAATGCTAATGGCACAAATGGGCATTAAGGGTGACCTCAAGAGGCAACTGAGGATTCCCCTGGACTAGGGTGATAATAAGATTATAGTTCATAAATTAACATCTAGAGATTGCAATGATGATTTTGTAAAAACATGGTATGGATAACCATGCTTGCCATGGCCATTGTGGAGGATATTCTAGGAGTAGGAAGGAGATGTATGGGGTGGTGCTACTCTGACTTGACCCCACTAGCCCCACGACCTTGGCAGTAGAAAGCTGGCAGTGAGCCATCTTCACTTGTTCTAGGTCTCACATGTCTGTCTCTCTGCTGTATCTCAACACAACTGAGGATATAATCCTTTTTTTTTTAACAAAGGAAGACTGTTTTAAAAATATGAAGCCAAAAGGGATGCAAATGGCTTTCTTTTATTCGATGCAAGTTATTATTTATTCCATCTGACCTTCTGGGCACACCCAGTCCTCTTTTTGTCAAGTAAACACAGGATATATATTAGTTTTGCCATTTGTAAGACATTTGTTAAGGCTATGTCAACAGCTCTGTTATAAATATCACTTTCCAAGAGATCTAAAATCTCTCTTAAGGAGGAAACTTGGCACATAAGTCATCAGTAAGGAAGCACAGATGATGCTGTGACTCTTACGTTTTTGTTTTTAATCTGCTCAGCTGCCTTTATGGAAGTAGAAAAAATACAACCAAAAATGTCACTGAGCTATCTCATTCCAGTCCTCTAGGCTGTCAGTTGCCTCCCAAATCCCTTGCTTTTAATTGTGAGAAACATTCTGTTTGTTCTTTGCTTATGTTTGGCAGAGCTATGATTAGGAAGTTTCCTGTTTCCTTGAGAATGACTTGAGACATTTACATATTTTGTGTTTACTGTCCTGCTAGAAAAGTTCAGTTTTGCATATGCGCATGTCTTGGAAATATTCCTCATTGGACCTCAGCAAACTTATCATCAGAGCACCATGCTGTTGAAGTCCGATGAGTACTTTTAGTTTTCCTGGCTGGAAATTCTAAGATCCCAGCCTCTGCTCTATATCACTTCGGTTTTGTGGGACAGAGTGAAAACATGCTATTTCTTTACAGTATTTTTCTCTTTGATCTCTTTGTAATGTTTTTACAAGATGTGTTTTCCAGAATAGCTGTGTTAGGAAACTGTTTTATGTCTGTTTTGACCCTCTCTCCTGCTGTTCATGTGTTTTATTGACCCGGAGGTTGTGAGATTGTCTTGTTTGTCTCACTGAATACAATTTAACCTGTTAATACAGTATTGTCAACTATCCCCAAATTGAAGAGATTGGCTTAAACTCATGAGATTTGAAACACAATGATAAATTTGGATTTCTTTTTTATTTATCTTCTTGGCTTTGAGTCTTTAAGGTGTACTCAAGTCAAACTTGTCAAGCTTTTCTCTCTAAGAGGCAGAGAAACATTTTTAGAGGAAAACTAACTTTTTTCAATCCCAGGAGATGACATTAAAAAAACACACAACTATTTCAAGACTTAAAATGAAATCACAGGAGTTGGCAACATTCCCAGTAGGTTGACTTATGCCTGTAGTGTGAGCTGCTGTAAAAGTGAAGGACTCTACCTAGCCATTCTTATAGAAAGATCAGGGCCTTCACCGATATTACAACCTCCTTGTATTTATTCATTATTTAAACCCAATCAATTAGTTTAAAAAGAGCTTTCACTTCAAACACTTTGCCGAGTAGACAATTTAGGCAGCTACTCCAATTTTACACCCACAGTGGTATGAATAGGGTACTCGTATATCTAAACTGTGGTGCTTGGGATCAGTCATATAAAGCTGTGTAACATTGGTTCTGGTCTGTCATTGGAAGCATGCATATACTTGCATGTACAAATATAAAGCACAGCTTCCCTGAGTATATATGCATTTGGCTTCTTGTGACATTTTAGCTAGGAAATTTTCACATGGTCCCAGAGGTTTGAATACAAAAGGAGCATAAGCATAGCTGATGTCACACATCCCAGAGATGATGGAGGTGTCACTCTGATTGTTCTCCTTGGTGCAACATCCTGAGCAGATGATTCTGAGTTATTTTCATCAATTTAATTTCTAGTAAGTTTTACCTGTTGAAAACTGATGCATTTAAATGCAATTTGTGCACACACAAACTTGCATTTGACACATGGATAATAAATTGGTGACTCTGTACCTCTTATAAATCCTGGAAAGTTAGGAACTCTCTGTAACTTATCTTTACCTCACTGGATACGGAGCCCTTTTGGAGATGGAGCCCTTTTGCCTTGTCTGCTGTCTTTTCACTTCTCTGTTGGGCTGAAACTCTAGCTAGTGGTTGAAAAGAGCTGGTGACATGTGTTGAGTTACGAAATACACCACTAAAAGGCATTCACCTAGCAAAATAAGCTAGGACATGCTGAGAAAAAGTTTGGGGAAGGGAGGGGGCTCCTTAGCAATACAGTCACCTGGCAGAGATCTGGTCACCAGAGAAAAGGTTTATCAGGGAGTCACTGAGGGGAGGGAGTAGGGAGCGGCAAGAAATCATAAAAGCAGCAGCGGTTGAATGCTTCAGTCTTCGTTGGTCACATTCAGTAGTTCAAGCTATGGGGCAGTTGCTTGGAGTTTGAGGCTACTGAGGCAGGAGTGATTCCCTTTGTTCTTTACTGAACAAAGATGGACCCTAGGGACTCTGAAGGGAAGGGCCAGCTGGGGAAGGGCACTTGATTAGGAAAGTGGTTGTTTTTCCTAATGATCTGTAAAACCTTGTGGTTTATCTTTAAGTAAAGTAAAGGTGTGATTGGGAACTTTGCGCAAAAACTTTCTGTATCTGAATGCCTCTCAAGAGTTCAACTGTAAACCAGAAGGCTCACCCTTTTGGTGGGATTCTGGGAAAGAGAGTGTTTAAGCTATGGAGGAAGTCAGAACTATACCCTGGGCCTAGGCAATTGACCTTGGGGGGAGGAGGGTATTAGACAGAAGGGCCTGTGCTTTTGGAGTGAAGCTGGAGTTCAGTCCACAAGATAGTCTAGGATGTCTATGCTGTTCAGACTCCGGAGGATTAATTTAGCCAGGGATCCAATGACTGGGTCCTGTGATAGCAATCTGGTGAATACCCAAAAAGGTGCTGGGCCAAATTTTGTATGGGGATGTCAAGTACTTGGCCTTTAATAGTTCAAAAGCTGCACCTTTTGTTTTCCTTCACTGTCTGAGTATGAGCTATTTTAATTTATCAAGTGATGGAGTTTCATTTTACCCTCTGCTGGTAAAACTTATGACTCCCCATTGAAATATCAATAGGAGCAGCTCTACTTTACACCAGCTGTGGGCCTGGACCATGCCACTCTTTTCTTTACAACTTTAATGCCAGTACAACTCTGATCAGAATCTGGCCTTTGTGTTTACTTTTGCTTTGCACATAGAAGCATTACACAATTGTATCTGTTTAATTAAAGAAGTTTATGGGATTTTTCAATTATTCCAAGTCTTAAGAGCATACAACTTGAACTCATGCCTAGGAATGCTGATTCTTCTGACCCTTGTACCATGATAAATATATTAAGGAGAGTTTCTAACAACATCTGTTCTATCTTTTGGTACATTAATGCTGGAAGCCAAATGATAGACTGTATCAAAAAAGATGACAAAATGATTACAAAAATCTTTACAACAGCATGCTATCTTTTCAATGCTTTATGGAAGGAACTACCCCCTCTGTCTTTTCTATTGCTTAAGTGTGTAAAGAAAATCACAATGCCCAAGGTCTGCATTTTGATACAGTAATTCCTGAAATATATGCAAACATTGTAGTTGAAAAACATTTCCTTAGTTATCAGTTTCTAGTTTTTCTTTGAATTGTAAAAGAGAGATTTTTAGATGGATCTTGGTTTCTATGAAAAATTCTGTTGGTGTTTCTCAGTTCCTGACATGATCAGAGGCAGCATGCACTGTTTTATGGGGATTGGTAATGATTCATTTCAAATCTAAAAGCCTGCTCACCGAAAGAAGATGAGTAAAGCTGATGAGACTGAAGCATCCCACCTCTCCCTGAAGACAGAGCTACATGTATAACTTTCAAGTGTAAATAAATTCACTATTACTTGTGAAGGAGGAATTCTAAATATGTGCTCCCTTGGGAGTAGATCATAACTGCACAGTAGTAATATAACCTGATTTCAAACTAAAGCCTGAATGTGGGGTTATGGATCTGCAGAAAAATTAGACTTGAAAAGAGCTCTGTCCCAGAGGTGCCTGGCATGCAACTGCTTTCAGACACCAGAGCAGTGTGTGGGGTGGGGTGAGTCAGAGCAGGTTGCGGTATGGTAGTTTTACTTTACAAACAGTGATTTCACTCTTCACAGCACATGGTATGATTAAGGCTTTTCTATATAAAAATCAAAATTCCCCTCAATTTGCTTTTGGAATTTAAATGATGGAGTAAATCCCGTGCGTCAGTCAGCAGGCACTATAAATTAAATACACTGGGGGGATGGGATAAAAGAACGAGGAAGAGATCAGTATGAATATGATGGGGATGTGCTATTCACAGAGTCAAAACCAGATACCTACCAGGATTAAGGATTGGACAAGTACAGCCTCTGTTAGTCCAGGATTCTGGGTAGAGAATCCGCTTTCCTCGGAGAATTTTAAGCTTTGTCGATTTCAACACTTTCTTGATCTTCACGTTGACTTCTGCATGTGAGCCCTTGTCATGAGCTGATAAAATCTTTGCTTTTACCACTGGGAGGAAATATGTAAAAAAACCAGAAATCTATTAAATGTCTTTTGCTCAGCTCTTTCTAACACAGTGCTGGGCAGCAGCGTTAAAGACCAGTGTGTATGGTCCTTGTAAAATTAGCCTGGCACATGTCAAAACTTCATTCTTGCCTGTGTGTCTTATGGTCAGAAGGGTGACATGCAGAACTGCATCAAAGCTTTCTGTTGCTGGAGAGAAAGCTGGACGAGCTTTACTTGAACAGCAACTATGGCAGATGCCAGGTCAGCCTATGCTCACTGTCAAGGTCAGTGAGTCTCAAATAGACAAACGGTGCCCCTGGCTGCTCCTCTGGGGGCTCTGGCTCCTGCCCTCTGCCCCACACCAGCCCCTGCAGAGAGCACCCTAAGCAGTGCACTCTGTGGTGGGCAAGATGGACACGGGGCCGTGGAACTGTACTTTTCAGTCTGGCTTGCTTTCCTACTCTTCCCAAGCTCCTAGAGCTTGTGGGAGGGGCTGAGGGGGCAGGTGGCTCCTGTTGCTGGCATGCAAGTTGCCAGAGGAACATCTACTGTGGTGGGGGCTGCATTTTCCCCCTCAGATACGGATCAGCAGCAGGGAGGGGGCAGGCAGTGGAAAGAGTAGGACACAGCAGAGTTCTGCTCCTGCTGCCCTTAGATGACACCAGCTTCTGCACCTCCAGTAGCCACTATCACCCTCTTCTACCTCCTGCAGGGGTATCTGCCTCCTTCAGGGAATCTAATGACTTATCACCAAGCTCTCCAATCTGTCCCTGCCAACACAGAGCACCATGCGGCATCCCCCACTGTGCTCTCAGACATGGCCCCCCACCCCACATATCCTTTCAAGGTGCCCTGGGGTGTGAGGAGAAAGAAATGCATTACTTTTTAAAATGGGATGCTGCTACACTCAGAAAAGTGATGGAGGAGGGCTAGAGTCAAAAAGGTCGAGAATGACTTTTCAAGTGAGATGCTAAGTAGCAGCCAACAGCTGCTGGGCACCTGGTTGCTGCCACTGAGATCAGTAGGAACAGCTGCTTGCTCAGAACCTCTGAAAATCAGGCTTCTAAAGGGGGGCTGAAGAACTCAAGGTCAGGCTCCCATTTTTGCAAAATTGTTACATGTGCATAAAGCAGAGTGAGAAACCTTAGAAGAACATGGCCCTCATCCTGTCTGCTGAGCTACCAACTCTCCTGTACAAAACCCTGTAGGTACCACTTTCATGCTAGGTAAGGGGCTGCAGAAGTGACCTCTGAGACAGCAATGATATTTGCCTACAGTGGTATTTAACAGCTTCTTATGAGGTTGCTTTGTTTGGAATCTGTGTTAAAAAGCCTGAGAAGACTCTCCTCCGATGCAGACTCCCTCTTCAAGCTTGTGATGTGCCCTACAATTCATCTCTCTGTAATTTAGCTGACACCCTTGAACACTGAGTGATGAAAGGGTGGGAGGCCTGAGTGCACTTTAGATAAGATTTATGAAGTTGTTTTTTACTTTTATTTCTTATCTTTTGCAAGATTAAACACTGTCACTATCGCAGGCAGGAAGCAAAGCAAAGCAGGCTCAGATATTTTTTTCTAATACCACTAAGCCGGGGCCATATTTCAGTGATATGCGGCCCCTTGAACTTCTCTCTGTGGGTCACACTGCAGTTGGCAATAGTATGGATTATTTCTCAATGCATTTTAAACCCTAGCACGAGACTGAGCAGGTGCAAGAAATGTTGAAAGCTTATGAAATGAAGGGAGTGTTGTACAAAGCATTCCTTCCTTGGTATAGTGTGAGGAGACAGTTCATTGGTACTGCCTGGAGGAATCACTGCAGACAAACTTTTCTCTTTACTCCTATAAATCTCAATATGTAAATGTACTAATCTTATCCCATTTCAAAAGCTTTGAGCTGTTCTTGAAGGGATGTGGGGCAGACCTTAAAAGCTAGGAGAACTGCCTTTTCTGTGAAGGCAGAAAGGGGTCTGTGACTGTCACTAGCACTCCGTCCTATGATGCATCAGAGCAAAGACTGAGTGGCTTGCTTATAGACAGTGGTTTTCCCTTGAGTATCAGCACTTGATCAGTGAGATAGGAAGGGGAACAGGATGCTTTATTATGGCTGACCTTAATACATACACTAATACTTAACACACTGTACAGAGAGAGAGAGAGAGAGAGAGAGAGAGAGAGAGAGAGAGAGAGAGAGAGATTTTAGATTTTGTAGAGTCCCAAATATAGAGGTGATAAGCATCAAATTACTCATACACTTTTTGCACTGAAATACAGTTTCAGGGTTGCAAGAAAGGCAAGCCAGAGTGCCAGATCCATAAATAAATCACTAATTATCTTCATAATTGCTTCTTTAAGAATGTCCTGGGTTTGATCAGGACTGAGATAAATTGGTTATCTACAAGGTGATGTGCTTGCTGAGCTTTCCTGAGAATCCCTCCCCATTTCCCACCCCATGACTGTTTTTTCTTGCAGTACATTATGTACGCTTTCTGACATTCTTCAGTGTATGCTCGTTTAATCCAGTTCTGTGGGGTGCAAACCAGTCCAACTCTTCTCATACCCTTATACAGATTCATAAAATAATCCATCTCAGCAGTAATAACTTTCTCTTGTGACTTACCATATGTATACTTCATTCCACAGAAGACCTGGGGATTCCCTAAAACTTGTTCTTTACATTCACATTTACCTATGAAAAGAAAACAAACAAATGCTTCATAGTGTGAGATAATATTTGAAGAGAAAGATGGACTAAGCCAGTCAATAGGTACTGCGGCATATAGCCTTCCTGAGTGGGTAGTGATTTTGATGAGGCCAGGATTTTACCCTGGTGCTCTAAAGCACATGCTTATCTTTCAGAACACAATGACATGTTACGCTTATTTATGACCTGGTTGCAGTTTTCCCATTTTTACTTTTCAATAATATAAACTCTTTAATCACCCAAGACACTGCTCCACCCAAGAACTTCCCCTGCTGGAGGAATGTTCAGGAAGACAGATCCACAATTGCCTTCAAGATATAGGAGTGATGCCAGGGGTGGTGAGCCCAGAGACTTCCCAATGAAGTAAATTATATCTGTAGTATACCCCTCTATTCCACAGTAAATCCTGTGGAACTAGGGGTCTGCCAGGGTTTTTGTGCTAAGCCCCTGACCTATCAACACATTACTCAGGAGCTTAATTTTCCGTGAGTAGTTCCACATAGACTTCAACAGGATGTACTCCTGGGCTCAACATTAATCACAGTGCTTTCCACATAAGATACACTTAAAAGGTCTTAGTACAGGAACATGAAGTTGCATATAATTATTCTGCAAGGCAAATGAGTTGTTTTTGTGACTGAAATAAAGAAAATCAAATTGCCCATTATTTTTTTAAAACCTAAGATAAATGGGTGGAAGGCAGGTTTTTGTCCCTTGCCACCCCACTGACTTGTTTCCAAGATTTTTAGTACAAAGTAGTGCAAAAAATGACAGTTACATGCTTACTTGATCAAATGTAACTATTTCAAAACAGCATGTGTACCGTCATCCATCTACAATACAAAGAGGCCCCAATTGTGGAATCATTACATTGGTGAATAGTAGTCAAAGGGACTACTCGTCTGAGTAAGCACTTGCCAGCAGAAAAATTGCATGATTAGGCCTAATAATAATCACATACACCAGCAATAGTATATTATTAGCTACTAGACAAATAACTTCCCAAGTTGAAACTGCACCTGAAATGTTCAGTAGTCAGGAACCAGATCATAAACCACAATTGCTGCCATCCTTAATCAGGTTGTTTGGGAAAATTATGCTGGTGTTTTAGAAATGTCTTAATTGCATCTCAAATTAATTTAGTATCACATTATTTTAAAAAAATGTTTACTCAATGGGATGTGACAGTTCTATGTAAATGTGACATAACAGACCTCCTTAAAATATTACAGCAAAAGCAAGACAAAACAAACATTAGCATTTCAAAACAGAAGCCCCCAAAATCAGAGCTCAAACTGAAAATCTAGGCAGATGCTCTAGCTACCAATCCCTCCAGCCATGTTTTAAAATGAAAGTGTTTAGACATTGGATATTCTTTTATTAATGAATCAAATAATTCTTTCAATGTTTCTTAGGCTTTTTTTTTGGTAGCTGAATAATACTGGATGTTGGACAATACATTATTTACTGCCATCTTTGCCAAGACATTAATCCAAAGCAATGCTCTGTTGCCTTTTCACAAATCACTTCAAAAAAATCTTTCCTTGTTCCTAGGAACAATCTCTTAGTAACAGGCATGGGGATGAGAAAAATATCTGAATCAGTTATCTCACCTGAATGCCGAAGAGCTGAGAATCCTTGTTCATCTTCCCATCCCCATCTTGGCTCACTTTCATTAAACACTGAGTGGAAATCAGGTATCTCATGATGCCAGTATATATCCGCACTGTTTTAAGGAAAGAAAACCATGAATATTTCTTATGGAGTTAACGGTCAAAGTCAAGAGAATTCTCACACTTACTGTTAACTCTCTATTTCCCAGAAATTGGTCTAGAAGTTTCTCCAGATGCATTGATATAATAAAACTATTTTTGTGTGCTTTATGAAGTGAAACATTTGGTCATTGTACACTCCTAAATTTGTACTATGGATCCATGGGTGGTATAAAGTAATATTTTAGAACTCAATGCATATAATACGGAAGGTCCACAAAATTATGTATTTATACACCTTGGCCTAAAGATAGTACTAGGCCTCCTTAGGTAGCCTGATTTAAAATGCATTATTCTCCAGCATCTAAGAGATTGACTTTGCTTCTTCTGAAGTCTATGGGAGTTTTGTCATTGACATCATGGGAGCAGGAGTGAGCCTCTTATTCTTGCTTCAAAATACAGTGAGTAGCATGGAAGAAAACTACAAAAACCCAGAAAGGTACCAGAACCAAATACCTAGATGGAAGGGGAGACTACATATCATGACCTATGCTACTACAATAGAAATGGCCCACTCTCCTGATATATCATTATTCATAACTTAAACGTATTACAACCACCAATCCTGTTTCTCTATCATCTAAAAGGGTGATGATGCAGTGAGTCTGACAATGGTGAGGCCAACATGTCCCCTCTGGATATGCGCACAAGGCTGAATGGACATCTTGCTTTAATAGAAACCACTCTGATGGCCCTTAATGGGCTCTGTGCTCCACAGGAGGACAGGGGAAGGGGACCAGTGAAACACATAACTGGCTGTGTGCTGCCACACTGCCCATCCTCTGCCCTGCTATAACAACACCTTCTGTGTTCTCTCTGTGATGACTATGGAACAGCTGTAGAACAACTTAGCTAATGGCAGGAGAGTTACAGCTGGTGTTGTGTGCTCATGACAGAGAGCAGTTCCATATAAACATAGGCATAGCACCCTGCTTGGAGGGAGGAGCACAGGCATAGCAGCAAGCAGTGCAGAGGAGGCAAAAGGAAATCAGCCTGTGCTCCTGGCTGGATTGCTAGCAGCAATTGCAGCAATTCTGTGAATCATTCTTTTTATTAATAGCCAATGTAGTTCTAAGAAACATGGGGTCTTCCATGATGATACCTGTGGCAGGAAGCCACCTTTGTTTCTCCCCAAAATCTCTGCTCTGTGACAATTTGATTAGGATGGGCCCAGCAGAGGAGACACACCTTTACCCTATCTCTTCAGGTAACCTGAGCTGGCTACATTCCTGAGGGAGGGGGGAAACCTGCTCCCTCTGCCTACGTGACTGGCATCAGCTACCTGGGTGAGGGGCATCTACCTGGTGGGCTCGATTTTGCTCAGGAACTGGTGATGTATTTCAAATTGGTTGGCTGACAGCCAACAGGTGCTGGCCTCCATTGGACCAGGTGAACAAGGTCACAGGGGCTATATAAGTTAAGACTGCCCAGGAGGAGGCGGCAGCAGCCATGTGGCGGACTCAGACTGAGAGAGGAGCTTGACCATCTGAAACTGGCTCTCTCCCCCATAACTCATGAGCTAGGAATGGCCTGCCTCCAAAGGGAATCTCCAACAGCCTCTGGATGATGCTTGTGAGTAAGCTACTCGAGATCTGATTAGATATATATAGCTGGCAGTAACTCAGATGCGTGATCAAAAGGCTACCTCAGCCAGACTATTTTGCTCTATGGGATTTCTATGATATTGCTCTATCTTGTACCCTATTTTCACCTTACCCCCTGTAATCAATAAAGCTCTCCTTTGTGACCGGTGTAGGAGACTTATTGAGGGGTGGGTCTAAATTATGCCTAAGGGCCCCTTAGGTCTGCGGACTCTAAGAGGGACTTTCCTTTTTGGCCCCCGACTTGGGGAAGTGCCCCAAGTGCTTGTACTGGGTTGAGTACCCGTAGGACTATTAGGCCTGTGTTTCCCTGATGACACAGGGCTAAGAGAGTCCCTTCTCAGGGTGGTGGCAGCTTACGTTACCCCCAGGCTAGTGAGTGTGCTCCAGAAAGGGGGTTAGCTGGACGCGAGGCGCCCTAGGGAGGCACTCAGAGCCTGGAAGGTGGTCGGGCGCAGGGAGGTGGGTGGCTCAACGCAGGAGTGCCCCCTGCTGGCCCACCACAATACCCACCATGAGGCACAGGAAACAACAAGCTTTCAGTCGTCTGTGACTCTCTCAACAGATTACTCCATGGGAGGAGTCTGCTCTGGCCCAGTACCTGCAATAGGGTTTTGTTCATATGTTGTAGTGTATATCATGAGAGTTTCTGTAGTTTAAACCCAAATAAGGTCTCTTTTTAAAATCTGGGGGATGAGTATCCATGATGTAATTGTATGCGTGTCTGGAGCAGTGGTTCTCAACGTTTTTAGCCTCAAGGAACCCCCCTTCATAGTGTTTTGCAATTTAGGGGTACCTTGGCTGAGAACCACTGAGCTAGAATCTAGCTGGTGTTAAGTGAAGGCAGGAGGAAGGCCCTCACTTCACTGTGCCTTGATTATTCCACCATCTACCTCCTCCCAGCCCCTGGTCTGTACCTAAGGGGGCAGGTGCTGCTCCTCTGGGGAGCAGAATGCCAGTGACCAGAGCCACATGCACAGTCAGTCCCTCCCACCAGCTCTGGGAGCATGGCAGGAGGGGAAGGGGACCTGGAGACAAGCTAGGCTGAAAAGGCCCTGTGGCTGCCCAACTGCTCCTGCACATGCACACACAGCACTGCACACTGCTAGGAGCATGGGGGCTGGCATGGGAGCTGCCAGGGGATGGGGATCAGCTCTGGGCACTGCTTGTCCGAGGGACACTAGGGTTCCCCAGTCATGTGAGAGAGGAGCAGCAATAGCTCACTTTCTGCCATGGTATCTGGGCATTGTAGCACCCTTAGAAGGATCAAGAATCACTGGTCTAGAGCAATAATATGCCCACTCACCTGCTGATGCAGTCACCTGTAAGTGGGTCACAGCTTCCAGCACAGTCGCATGGCCTGCAACCATACTCTCCAAAGCCCCAGTATCCCACCATACACTGGTCACACTGAGGACCTGCCACTCCAGGCTTGCAGGGGCAATCACCATTGCTGGGGTCACAGAAGGTACTTGTGCTGAAGGGAAGCATAGCTGATCCAACACGATGGCAGGAACACACTGGAGTATCAAAACATACGAGGGAAGTGTATGCATGTTGGAAAGTGAGCACAACAAGGCGTTTATGCAAACAGATTTGTTCACCCATCTCAGGGCTGAGTTTGATGTACCTATTATTTTACATTACTAGGGGCAAAGAGTAAGTAAGCAGGTTGATATAATTATCAAAGGGAATATATTGCTACATTATTGAAAAGTCACAGTTTTTTCCTTTGTTTTTTCTTGACAGAAATGCAAAACCTCTGAGATGAAATAGTGCGAGACACATGCCAAACCACTAATGGATCTAATAATGATTATGACGTTTCTGGACTTTGTTTTCTTTACTTGCATGAACCTGAACAAAATAATTCCCTCTGGAAATGGCAAGACTTTGACTAAGTATGATCTATAACAAAAGTTAATTTATTCTGGGCTTGCATTATGTTTTGCCAGAAGTGAGCAGTACTAAATTAGGACATATAAGAACTGCCATTTACTGGGTCAGACCATAGGTCCATCTTGCCCAGTATCCTTTGTCATACAGGGAGAGACAGTGAGTGCTGAAAGGGAGAGTGTACTGGGTATGATCATGGTTTTGCCTCTGTTCCTCTCCCACGTGCAGCTTCCAGCATTTAGGGCGCAGAATTGCAGCTCCATGCTGTAACTGAGAGCATTTTGCAGGATGTGTTCTGAGTTACTACAATCCCCTGGACCAAACAGAAGTTCACTGTTGGTTTTAGGGGGGAGGGTAATCTAGCCACTGGCTCAGAGCCTGCAGCCAGTTTCCCCTAGCAGTGCCCCCTGCTCCTTGTGAGGCTGTGCTGTTTTCAGAATGGGAGCGGGGAAAGGGAGCTCATTCTAGGGGTTTCTCATATGGCACCAGAGGGTGGGGTGGGTGAATTGGAGCCCCCTCGCCACTTCAGAGGGCTCTGATACACCCATTCCTCCCTCCAGCAGGGACTGAAAAAACCCCAGACTGAGCTTCTTCCTCTCTCTTCCCCCCTCCCATTCTGAAAACAGTGACAGGCTGGGAGGCAGCACAGAAAGAAGTTACAGGAGAGGAAACATCTTCATCTGACCCCACATGCAATGAGGGCTCAGATTTTCACTTGACCAGCCATTTTTGAAGCAGTCGTGTACTTGTGTTTGGTCATGGCTATAGACCACTTTCTGTGGCCTGATCTGGTGAAAATTTTCACTTCTGTTTGCACCCTTAAGGTCTAGTAAGTTCTGATTCAGAGGCTGTATCCCTAACTCCCGTGCTCAACAGCTACTGATGCACCTTTCCTCCAGTAATTTGTCCAATCCCATTTTTGGATCTGGCAAAGCTGTCAGCTTCTATAACATCTTGTGGCAATGAGTTACATACTTTAATTACCTGCTGTGTGAAAAAGAAATTCCTTTTGTTAGTTTTAAAATTTGAAGTTTCATTTTGTGACCCCTTGTTCTTGTATTGTGATAGACAGTAAATTATAAATCCCTCTTTACTTTCTCTTCACCGTTTACTATTTTGTAAACCCTTATATAACGTTCATCCTCAAGTGTCTCTTTTCTAAGCAGAATAGGCCTTGCCTCTTTAATTACTCCTCTATGGAAGCCCCTCCATACCACTAATTATCATTGTTGCCCTTCTCTATTCAAGATGTGAATGCAACGTGGATTTAGTCCGCTTTTAGCACCAGGATCCTACTTCATCAAAGTATCTATGCACCTCATTGTATGATGTGCGTTTAAGTATCTTGTGGAGTCAGGATTTGGATACTTTTCCACTCTACAGAAGTGAAGCCTAATGTACCTACTTTTTGAAGTCACAATTAATATCCTTATTGTTGCAAGAGGAGATGAAATAAATCATTAAAAAAACCCAAATGCTAGAAAAATAGGTCGTCTTTGTCATTCTTCTTTCAAAACAAATTAAACTAGATATTTTGAAGTGCTGAGTAAAAAAAAATGAACACACTGGTAACAAAGGGCCACAATAGCTACAAGTGCCATTCAGTTCTTGTATAAAACCTGAAACATGGATTTTCCAGAGGTGTGTTCATTTTATGGACTGAAATCCAAAAACACTCATTGTTATTGATCAAGGAGGAGATTCTATTCTTTGATGTTTCTCTACTCTGCTCAATAGTCTCTTATCGCAGCAGTTCTCCGTTTTATTGGAAGGTGTTAGAAGTGTTTTTTTTCTGAAGATCACAGTGTGAGTCAGTACAGCAGCCGGAAGAATTACTAGCTAGTGAGGTGACTTTGAAAGGGAGTTGCGGCATGGGAATGCAGAGGCAAATCCTGCACCCCAGAATGGAGGAATTTGGAAGCAGTGCTGCAAGGGAAAGTTTGAAATATTCCTTCTCTTCCTTCTTTCTGCTCCCTTTTTAAATTTTTCAGGCATTATCTGGATTTCTTGTTGGAAAAAGGGGGAATTGGAAACAATGGAAAAAGGGGAATTCTGGGGGAAAATGTTGATAGAAATTCAAATACCAAAAGATTTAGATTTGGAAAGATTATCATAATACTGTTTGGGAGCTGTAGTTCTGCTGTCTCATGCTCCTATTCGTCATTTTAGCCTGTGTCCCAGGTTAGACAACATCTCCCATGACTCAACATTTTCTCTCTTTCTGAAAAGCGGAAGCTTCATTAGAATCTCTAGCCCAGATACTTTATGGAAATGTAGTCCAGCTGGGGAGCTCACCCCAGAGAGGAGTACAAGGGCATGAGGTAACACAGTTGCCACCAAGGATCTGGGTTTTCGGTCTCCCATGGAAAAATGGAGAAAACCACAGATTTTCCCCTTTACTGGAGGAAAACACAGATTTCTCATTTTACTGGAGAATTTTGCAGCTTTGCAAAGAGCCCTCTGCAGGCTGGCAGATTTCTAGCCTGCAGGGGGCTGGGAAGGAGCAGGAGGAGGGTGGTCAGGCAGGAAGCACCATGTGCATGTATATTGTAAGAGAAAACAGCAATACAATCATAAAAAGCAGATGACCCTTGAAAAAGCAAATGATCTTTTTTCCCCTAAAATTAAAAGATCACCTCTTGCTGACAGTAAGTGACGTGTACTTCTCGCTGACAGTAATGTGTAACTGCAAAACCAGTCTCAACCGGCCCAAGCTTGCTCTGTATCGTATTTTGTAATTTTGTAATGGCAAGAGAAAAAACCCGAATGCGCGTGCAACAATGTAGCAATGCAATGTTTAATGTATAAATACCAAGCTAGAAACTCAGTTCGTGGGGAACTCTCTGTCTTTGTGACACTGAGTAGCCCCCCTCTGCAGAGAAATAAATCATCTTGCCAACACCCCCTCATTCTGTGCTAAATTGGTCGCAGCTAGGAACGAGCCCGAAGACGGGACATGGCCAGTGCTCTTCGGTGTATGAGCACACCCTTCGGTGTATGGGTGCTACACAGTAGCTGGTCAACCTTTTTTCCCTTACAATGTGCACATGGCCTCCAGGCAGCCTGCAGGTAAGTAAAGGCGGGGGGAGACTGAAGCCCCCATAGGGAGAGAGGGAGGGAGCTGGGCAGGGCTGGGGCTTGCCAGACAGTGCATGGGGCTTGGGGCCTGGGGCTACAATGTGCAGGGTTCACTGGAGAGTGGGGCAGGGTTGCAGGCAGCTCATTTGGGGGAAAGCTGGGGGGAGGGGCTAGCTTCCTGCTGCTCTGTGCACTCTTGGGGGCAGGATGGACCCATGCCCCCCAGGCTGGTGTGCAGGATGTGGAAGGCTTGAGCTCCCACTCTGCTGCCCTCCACTGGAGCCTCCACAGCCTGGCGGGTGCGACTCAGCACCGCAGGGAACAGTGGAGCCACATGGGGATCTCCTTGCCATTGCAAGCTCCGCTTTGACCTGGAGACACATCCACTATGTGCATGGCAGCAGCAGGGGCAGTGGTGCAGGATTGTGCCCTTCACTGCTGCCACGTGGGCAGGGGATGCATCACCAGAGCAGCACGGAGCTCACAGCAGCAAGGAGATTCCTGCGTGGCTCTGCTGTTCCCTGCAGTGCTGGGTTGCACCCACTGGGCTGTGGAGGCCCTGGGGGAGGGCAGCAGGGTGGAAAGCCTGAGCCTGCAGCCTGAGCCTGCCCTGCACACAGATCTGGGGGCACGGGTCCCCCTGCGAGTGTGCAGAGTGGCAGGGAGCCGCCTTCCCCCCCATCCGCCCCTACCCCCTCAGCAGGCAGGCAGCAGTGGGGGAAGCCAGACTCTGTGTTGCTCCGCTGCAGCAGCGCTGCCTCCTTCTGGGGACAGGCCCCACAGCCCTGGCAGGTAGAGGCCCCCTCCAGCTGCGGTGGGGGGCGTGAGTACAAGCAGGGCCGGTGGGCTGTGGGGGAGGAGTAAGGGGCATAAGCAGGGCCAGGGGACTGGGCGGGGGGGAGTGAAGGGCACCAGCAGGGCTGGGGTTGGGGGAAGTGAGGAGCCTTTAATTTTAAATCACAGATTTTAGGGTTTTTATCAGAGAATTTGGAAGTTTTTTTATCAGAGAATTTGCAAAATTTTTTATCAGGGAAAACTGGGCTCCCTGGTTATCACTCCCAGGAAGCACAGCAGCAGCATTTCAAAATCTATATCATTTCCATTTCCTGAAATTTGATTTTTGATGAAAAAACAAACTCAAGATGCTTATGGAAAGCTGGCACTTTTTATGCAAATATTTTCATGTAAACCAAAGCACAACTTTCCATGGGGGAGGGGTTGGGGTTCCCCCCCCGCTTTGTTACTGTGGAGATAAGAAAAGGTTAGGTACTGCATACAGCATAACCAGGCTTTGCTTTAAAATGCTTATTGCTATGCACATATCTTTAAATCTGATCTGATGACATTTTTGTGGTTTTCAGGGTTTGACACACCTAAATTAGAGCTTTTAATATTAATTCATCTCTAATATTGGCAGTCAGTTTACAGTAGTGATGGTTGTTCCAGAATCTATGCCAAAACACTCCAAACTTTCCCCACCCCTGCCAGTCCCAAACTAATATAATTACATCAAATTAGAAGATTAAAACACCTCTCCACAAACTGC